TACRCAAAACTCAAAAATCACTGTTTTAGTCCCACATTTCCATGGGTATGCAGGCCAAGTTTTGCTACTAGCCTTCCCAAAGTCAACAGTAACATTTTCTATCCTTTTCATAAACAGAAAAGCCTCACGTGGGGCAACGTGATATTACTATGCTTCCCAGTCATCCATCCATGGAAATGTAAATATGGCTCCTCTGGATCAACAACAGGGATTAACAGTTGCAGCTGCCTTTTAATTCTGTTCATAGCTAAAACCTTGCAGGAGACGGGACCCCCTGAATTGCAGGGGGAACAGATAACCTAACCAGGGGGCTATAAACATTTCATCAGCACAGAACTAGACTGTGTTGACTTCCCTTATGATCACTCCCAACTGCAGAACATCTCTAAAAAGAAGCAAAAGTCAAGTTCAGAAGGGATTGAGCTAACATGATAACAAGGTGGCTCGCTCCTCTCCTATCCCTTTCCTTCATAGYTTCTGTTTCTGCAAATCAGAGATCTAAGTAGCCTAAAATAGTAGATACAAATTYCCCCATCTTCTTCAGGAGTTAAAATCCTACTCAGACTTCTACGTTAATGGGCACGGATTCCCTGAGGTTGAAGAAATACYGACAGGACTATTCGTGCTCAGTTTGCACCATTTATAGGAGGAACTGTGGTGGAACAGCAGCCAATACATGGGTCAATGCATGGCTACCACATGTTCCTCGCTGTTCAGGACATCCAGAAGGACGTTAGTCCCATCATCAACCAAGATCAGCTTCCCAAACCAATCAAAACCAGAAACCACCTAATTTAAAAACAGCTGGAGTGCAACATCAGGCCCTGGGATGGGATAGCTCCGTAAGGCCTACAAGATCCTTATAAGATGAAGGCAGAAAATCAATAAAGCCTCAGTGGAGCCTAAAACTTCCAGCATCAGCACAGAGCACAAGCTGTGCTTCGGCCCAGAGTCTTCCCACCTCACCACATCTCACTTACCCAYGTGCAAAGCCATTCTCTTCCTCACCAACTAATGGCATTGGGTAAAGTTGACATTTCAGTTCACATTTTGCTGCACAAGATGGGGAAAAGATAAGGAAGGYGAGGTGACTACAACCCATGTGGCCTTGGGAGAAACACCCCACTGATACASAGAGAGAGACAGGCAAAAGGGACAAAACGCTCCTTCGGAGAATGGGAATTCACTTGTTCCTTTGACCAGTGTACTTGGCAAAAAGTAAAGAAATAAAAAGACCCGCTTTCCTCAAATGAATTTAAAAACATAAACATGGAGTGAGAACTCAGCTAACACCTCCACCCCTGAAACTCACCCATTTTCTCGGTCTGTTCAAGCACCCTGTTCTCCCTGCCACTTCCCAGATTTACTCTCATCCGCCCCCTGTTTTGAGCTGGAGACCAGCCAGCTCCCTTCAATCCATGCTTTTCCAGCACTCCTGCTGCTACATCAGTGGTACAGCCTGAGCTGCACACACCTCAGCCTCGTCACTACATACATTCAAGGAAGAAAAATGAAGACATATGGAATTTTGAGTGACCTTAAAATATAAGGCAGCATTAACAGCTGCCACTGGAGAGAATTTTTAATTCTGTTATTGAGAAAGATAAGGTGAGACTTACTAGTTCACACGTGCTATATTAATTATATAATGATAATAAGCTCTTTCAAGTAGCTAAAATATTACATTGGCTAATAAAAAGCCCTGCTAGATCCAGAAAGCCCATCTGAGTTAGTGGTATTGCGAGGTTAGAATGCCCCTGAAAAGACTGATAAAATAAACTTTTAAATTTCCCTTATTTGGAAAAAGTTCTGGTGGGCTAAAAGGTCAGGGTTTTTTTTCATGCAACTCTACAAATAACTTGCAAACGCTTTGGCCAAGCGTCTCCCCGACAGAAAATCTATATACTGACCTACAACCAACCAAAGGAAGCTTCCTGCCAGGTACTGCCAGCAACAAGCAACAGAGCAACAAGCCAGTTTCTGCTGAGAGCAGACATGAAAAGCTACTTGTAAGTATGAAAATGGGTGTAAGCAGATAACTTTGTTTTGAGATCAACATAGGCTGCAATCCACCGGCTGTTTGACAAATACAACCTGAGAAATATTGTTATCAACAGTCAGGGGAGTCTTAAATACTCCAGCTTCTTCCAGCTGCCTTTGCTGCAACTCTTCAGCTGCTGAGACTTTCTCCAACTTCTCCTCCTCCTCACAGGCATGTGCATGCAGTGCACTGTGCGGGGATTGGGAAGCCTTGGGATGCAGCAGGATTTAAGCACTGAAAACATKCAGGAGGAGAAGTACCCAGAACATAACCACAATTAACAAGCAAAGCTAAAGTATGGCTACTAACCAAGCAGAGCTGACACTGTCAGCACAAACCAGCACAGCCTTCTCTGTTGCAGTTGTATTACTTCTGACAGCAGAAAAATTAAATGAAAGGGATATCATATTTCTGTGTCCTTTCCTGGGCACAACTGCCACATTAAGTATTAAAAAAGCAAAAGTGATTTTGTCTTAACAGATTTAATTTGCTTGCCTTCACCTGTAAAGGCTGAAAAAGTATTTCTCCTGCTGAATGCTGCAGGGCTGTTCAAGCTCTCCCCTCCAAAAGAGCATCTACTGTGTCGACCACTGCTCCTCAAAACAGCAAAGGGACTCCAGGATATCAGATTCAGGAAGCAGATCTGACGTAATTTTAGCCAAATCCGTGAAGGATGACTGATTTCATTAGGTGAAGAAAGTCTTTAAGATCTGAATACTGAGTAAGAAAAGGACAGAGTGCACTTGGGAGAGAAACGTGGTAACCTACTACATCCATTTGCAGCTGGCATATTAACAATACAGTTCTAAGTTATAAAAACAAACAGCCTTTAGTAGGCAGAAGACTAAATACTCATCAAATAGTACATACATTGTGAATAGTACAAAATTCAATGCTGAACAAAATGAGGCAGACTCTACAAATTAAAAGGAAGATGCAGTTTTAATGTATATCTTGGGAATAGGAAACCCTGTAAAATCTCTGTATTTCACAGCAGAGGTACCCTCAAAGGGCGACAGGATTGCTTTTACTCCAGTGAACAAGCATTTTGCAGCAGGGAGCATTCTCTTACATAATGACTTACCTTGAGCACTTCCATCTCGTTAGTATCACTAAATTAGGAACACAAAGACAGGAAGCAGCTGAGGTATCGTAGCTCAGAGCCACACAGACAAAACAACCCAAGCAAGAAGTGGAGCTCAACAGTATGACCAAGTGGAAACCTTTGGTAGCTTCTGCATTCTCTGCCATGACATAGAAGCCAGTTTTGTTTCTTGTACATCTGTGACTTGGGTTACACTGAGTTTTATGGCTAAACTGAAGTTTAAACTGAAGTTACTGGAATGGTGGCACTTAGGAAGTCTCCTCCTGTCTAGACGCTCTAGTATCCAAAGGTTCAAGGCCATGCTTAGCTCTTTCTGTCAATCAAAGCACTTTCAAAGTATTTTGCCTACGCATCAGATTTGCTTCACATGAGATGACAGGTTGGAAAGCTGCTTGGGAAAGAGGAAAGGGAACTGAAAGAGTGTGATCACAGAGCAATGAAGCTTCTCACTTYGTATTTGTCACGTATTACCCGAAAAGTCTCCATGCCCCACTTAAAGTAACCTTACAAGTCTCTCTGACTTATGTATTTGGAGACTATTACCAACCTACTTTACAGGCTCTTTCAAGAAAGATCCGGACACAGTATTTTTTAATCCCTTAGTGATATTTCTACCCATGCAAGTCATACTGTTTCCAAGCGCTAGCATCATATTGCAGGCCAGCAGCAAGATTTCTTGCAGTTCTGCACTGCAGCACAACTGAATAGGAATAAACCAGCAGTAACTGCTAGAATTTGCTCTAATTGCAGCCTGCACATTTGCCAATGCACCCAGCATGTGCCCAGCTCCTGTCTGCACCCCAGAAAGCCCAGGTAGCTCCAAGAGCAGATGACAACCTCCCAGATGACTTAAATACACTCCATCAGCACCATCTACTGTCACGCCACAGAAATGACGACTTCAAACCCAACACTGCTGAACGACACAAAGACAACAGCCTGGCTCAGAAGTGGAAATAACTTCGATGGATTTGACAACAAACCATTTTGGAACATAAAGTGACTGAGAAGTTTTGCCTTGGCTACCAATGACTTGTTTTTGCYGGCTAATATTTAAGATGCTGAGGAAAATGTGGTAGCAGTTCAGACAGGAAAACAGAGAAGCCCACTAGATCTACTAGGAACAGGAATATTTTTATTATAATTTAAAAGATAATGGTTGAAGCTATCCAGTAATGCAAAGGTGGTTGGTTAAGTGGTTTCCTTGGAAGAAATATCAGAAASAGTCAGGCTGGTAGGGTGGTCTTAAAAACATCAAGAATTTCCTGCTTTCCCATGGCTCAGTTATCAAGCTTGGCTCAAACATTAAATGAAACAAAATTTATTTTCAGCAATAGACAGATACAGAAATTTAATCTGAAAAGCGTTAGGAAACTTTGCAAGGGAGATACCCTATTTAACAGACACATCAGAGACCGACATTTTCTGACAGTTTTTTAAGCATTTCAAAATCTCTAGTAATAACTACTCAGGTACAACTTGCTGCAATACAGGTGGGTCCAAGAGGAGGCTTTATTCCCTCAAGTCTTGTAAGCCAGCTTTTCATATTCAGCGTGTTAAAACAAACTATAAATAAATAATGATTTGTGGTCCAAGTGCTTTGTAAACTTTTGCAGGTGTTTCAMAGAAGAGGTATTTCAAAGCCCTACACTCTCAAATTTTAGACTGTTTTGACTCAAACTTCTCGGGAAAGATTTTTTTTGTACAGACATAATTGTTTTAATATTTGGTTCCTTAAAAGTTAAGATGAATTTTCTCTGCACATACAGAAATTTCCTTTTCTCTAGCTTGCAATTGCAACGMACCCATCAAAAACAGAAGATCACTATATGGTTCTAAGTGGGGCCTGCTTACCTTTTTAACTGTTAGAAATACATGCTGACTCTGCAACCTGAAAGRAAAAAAAAAAGAGAAAATAGTTAGCATTCTTTTTCTGTGCATTAGAACTGGCAATTTCTGACCTTCCAAGAGAGAAATTTCTGATTTTATAAGAATTGCACATCCATCAATCACTGAGCCAACAATCCTGTAACTCTAGGGAAGGAGAAGAAACAAAGTTCAGAATATTTCTATCTCCAAAAATAAAGCTTGAGGATACTTAGCACTGGGGTCAGTAAAAAAGCATAAAAGCAGTATATGCAGCTATTTAACAAAACCTTGCCTTCAACTTTGCAACTTCTAGCAGAAAGGTCAGCAAAAAATTTGGACAGCAGTGGCTTAAATCTAAAATTGTGGCTTATCGTATATTCTCCAAACAAATCTAGAGTCAACACCTTGTTAGATTTCTTTTTCTAGGTCTTAAATTTCACTTATAGTGGTTGATATAGCTTAACCTGCATAATCAATGCCTCACGTTACAACTCCCTTTTAAAACAGCAATTTCTTGATACTCCTAACATTATCTGGAGGTCTCTACAAGTACCTACAGAACCACATGTTGCTTTGGCTGTTGGCACTGGAAAGGAGAAACAAATAGCAGATTTGGGGTAAGAGAGATCACGACAGTGGGGAGGAATAATTTTTTGAGAAATTATTTTATTTTTTATTTCCAGAAACACATATAACCTGCACTGCTGCTGTCTTGGTAAAAGAATGGCCTTTTTTTGCTATATTCTGCCAGAATACACATGGGTGAACATCATGCTCACCTTTACTTTCCAAAATACACCCAGTACTCTAATGGATTTGGCTCCCTGCATCCTGGAAGACGGGATTCTCTAGTGTTATGCTGCCCRTAAGAGGGAGCTGCTACACTGCAGAAACATCATTCACTGACAAATCACAGGCAGGCTGCACAGCGGCACAGCCATGGACCAGGCCAACCCATGAACACAAGCAGTATACATGAAAACATTTTGGTCAGGCAAGAAATGATCCAATGCAATATTTAATGTAATATACTAAAATATTATTTTTTCCCCTCCAATGCCTTTAAATCTGCCAACATTTCATGGGAACATTTTCCATTGACACCAATAATCCATAAAAACATAACAAGATTATTTTAGCCTTAATAAAATTTATAACCAACCCTGAGAGAACACACCAGAACCAATTTTTAAATAAGGATCAAATTCTTATATTACTATAAACGGGAGCTGCTTTAGAACCTAACTAAAAACATGAAGCCACTGCTGTGGCTGCAGGGACGTGCAAGAGGCTCAGTTTGTTTTGTACATGGTAGAAACCATGTACCCAAACCAGCAGAGAAAAAGCTACCTGCAAGTCAACCTCCGGTGCAAACTCCTGAAGGGAAACCTGAATGTGTATTAAAACTAATGACAGGCAAGCAAAAGAGAGAGGAATCAAATACTATTAAATACGTACTCTCATTTTTTGACCAATTAAACCCAGACGCAGACTTGAAGCTGTGCCAATATTCATTTTTTGGGTTGCTCACACTTCATCTCCCTTGCCCTGGCAGACATGGGCAAGAACGGTGCTGCTCCAAGTGAAAGCCAGGGTTTTCCGTCCCACCAGTTCACACACAGAGCCCCCGAGGCCGGCCGTAGATTCTCTCAATACAGCAGTACTTCACGAGGAGCTGAAACCATTAAACCAAGTGACCACGTCAACAGAGCCCGCTGGGCAGAAACTAGCTACCCAGGACATGTGTGGCAAGATCCCGTTGTGTTAGAGGCCTGCATAGAATGTGGTCTCTTTATAATTATTTTGTCAAGCAGGGTTTCAAGTAACAAGTTCTCACCCACTTACAGCTTGACTAAACAGAAGTGTTTTCCAAACTTCACAGGGTCCCAGTGTTGGGAAATGTGGGGTTAGAAAGGCATCCGACAAACGTCCATACTTGCCAACAAAGCCTTGAGAAGACACGAAGGGAAGGAGCGCCAGAGGCCAAAGCGGTTACTACCAGTGGACGAGGGGGCTCGTTGACTTGCATTTTCCACCTCTACCTGTTGGTCTGGTCGGTATTATCCCAACACCCACCACGGGTGTCTCTCAGGCTTGGATCTCTGACACAGGTCCTCCAACACCTCCCTTAGGTGGCTTTGGCCAACACTGATGCTCATGGAGGACACAGGCAAACTGGCCCCGCTCCCAGCCCCACAGGCCACAGGAGGAGATGTACAAGTATGATAGAACAGAGCCATCCTGCTCCTACTACCCTGCCTGGACGTACTAGGCTAAAAGAACAGCAAGAAGAGTACACAGATATCATGAGCCTTTTTAAAACCTCAGTCTTCCTTCAACGGAGTGCAATCAAGCTATCTGGAAAGGTCAATACAAGTCAGCAGTTCATGTCTCTTCCAGCGCAAGAACTACAGTAGCAAAGACCCAAAAACTGTCTCATTAATTCCACTGCAACCTCCTAGAGCAGGAAGATCCAAAGCCACATGTTTTAGAGGTTAGGAGAATATTCAGAGAACTTACCACAAGGTTGTCCTGTTCCCATACTCATCTCTAACCATCCATTCTTGGTACTGTCAGAGACAGGTCCACAGACCTTTAGTATCACTAATCAGACTGGGTTTTAGCTTTTAGGACAACAGTTTTCCAGAACCCTTGCTGGCACCATACACATTAAATTTCAAATGATTTTGAAACTGAAAAGTCTCTAGGGGATTTCTGGTTTATGTCTTTGGATGGGCACTAAGCGAGGAATGAAAGGAAGATATTGCAATGTGGACGTGGCAACAGCACAGATATATGCCTGGCACAAACCTCTAATCTCCCACATTTCCTGCTTGTTTCTGTCTGGTGGCACTCTGATAGTTCAGCATTTAGCTGAAGGAATAACGTGCCTCTTGGGCACTTTTTCTGGAAGAGAGACCGGCGTTTGAGTGCCAGAACCAGCTCAGCACCATACAACAGCAGCACCACACAGCAATGCAAAAGGCAGCCCACAAATCCTCAGTGCCCTAAGAGCATCTTCCAGCACAGGTCTCAAATACGTATGTATTTACACATCCACTGTATCAGCATTTGCTTCCTCTAAAAATATGATTATCGGTTTAATAAAAATTTAGTATGACAGACTACACTGAAATAAAGGCTCCAAAAAATATCAAGCCAAGGAAGGGCTCTTCCTTTGCATCTCAGGTTTGGCATGACAACCAAAAAGAAACATACAAACACGAAATAATTAACACAAGCAATGCTAGATAGAGCAGTTAACATTCACTACAGCTCTCTGTTTGGCTGTCAGAGCACTAGTCATACCTAGCACTGGTCAGGAGAAAAACAAACAAACAAAACCCCCAAAATATGATGATGAATTAGAGTTAGAAGAGTCAGGACAACTGCCTTGCCCAACCATCCTTCCAAAAACATCCATTTCTGTGCTAAAGACTAGAGGGGGAAAAAAAAAAAAAAAAAAGGAAAAAAGGAAACATACCGAGAGCGATTTCTCACAGTGCAGCAAAGGGTTCTCGAAACCCCTCTGAAGAACATGCTGTCATGTGGGAGCTATCTTCATTTCTTCATTGGTTTCTAAAAATATTAGCTTTCTAAAATGCTGAAAACTGAAAAAGCTTCAGGCCTTTTTCCAGACAATGGGAATTTCATCAGAGAGGCGATAGCTGCTGCTGCCTGCCCGGGACAGCCTCTCATGCTTTATCAATCAACTGGTTTCTCACACACTTCAACTGCCAGCCCTTTTATTACCTCCTTAGGAGAGAAGTACCAAAAAACATCCCCAATAAAGCTCGAGATCTTCATTGCTCAGGGAATAGTCCTAAAAATCCAGGGGAAAAGAGAAGGTTGTAGGGCTTCCTCAGCTGGTGAAGTTCTGCATCCTTAAAAGGATGCTGCTCTCCTAYAGTTAACAACTCCACTGCTTGAAGAACTTGTTTTTTCTTGCATTGCCACCACAAACAGTGAAACCAGGACTGAGAGCCCTGTCCATTAGGCAGAAAACAGGCCCCATCTTAATGGGGCATTAAAACTAGCATCAAGACCATATTAAATTATTTTAACTCAATACTTCTTCTAATAGCTACTGATACAGCCAATAAAATCAAGAGTGCCAAAAGCCTGAATCTTCTGGTACAGAAAAACAGCTTGCAGTCTGGAGGCCCAAAGTCGGGGAGTGGATGGATGAAAATCCTCAGCTGAAAGTTAAATATCAGACCAGTTTTACTACTTTACTACAGGAGAATTCATTTTGGTGCTGTATCTAACGTGGAGGGTGGCATTTAAAAACAGATTTTCACTTTCACAGGTTGGCAAAAATAGCAGAATGTATTTGCATTACATACATAAAAACAAAGAATTTTTAGGCAAAGCCACATATAAACACATTCCAAATAGGCGTTAAGCAATTTAGCACCATGCCAAACTGATTCAATATTTTGACCAAGAAAGAACAGACTTCATGTTCTTCCCCAGCAGAAGAATCTAATTGAGACTACATCTAAAAAAACTATGTTGTAATTGTGCAAATTTTCACTCAATCTAATTATACGCCGATGAATCACAGGGACAAACCAAGCATGCTAAAAATACATAACATGACCTAATCTTTACCTAACATTTCCTTACTTTGCTCTGCTTCTTTTGTAGTTTTCCTTTAAATTATGCAGTACCAGATGAAGGCAAATACCTGGAAGAGCCCTTTGCTACAGCCCAAGCTATGGGTGCACTCCCATGCCTGGTCACTATTGAGTGCAAACACCCTGGTGGCTCCGTAAATTCAAGGGACTGGGATTTTTGTTTGGTTGCTTTTGGTTTTCGGGACATGTGTATTCTGCACGGTCCTCTACACCATCTTCTCTTTCGACTGTGAATCCTTCCCGCTTCCAAGTGCCCTCAGCAGATTCCAAAGTCACCAATAGCTGAGGCTGCCTCCAGCTCAGGACAAGCTGTTCATAAAACAAAATTAGGCTGTCACAGAAGACAAGAGACAGTTTTTCCAACAAAAAGTGGTTAAATCTC